GATGGGATTCCTTCTTGGGGCATCTCCCATTCATCCTAATTGAAGCTCTCCACATATACCCCCCAGCTCATGGAACATCAAGGTGAAACCATCAAAACCTTCATTGCCAAACAAAGGGGAAGTAGATAGGAGCTTCTGTACATGGCAAGTGTATAAAGAAAAGTAGCATCGAGAACTCAGACTCTAGAACACAGATGGTGAACAGCAATAGATGATGTATTTCCAACTGCTGAGCATTCTAGCTTTATCCTCTGGACCACAAGATACTTTCCAAGGCCTTTAAAGATAAAGGTTACTTTTGCTTTTGTTTTGTCTTAGAATCTATCTATAGTAGCTCTATGTGTATCAGACTATGATTAGGGAAGGACAGATAACAGGTTAGACTAGACAAGAAGAAGGCTTCAGCTTCTTTAGATTGAAAGAGGATAACTGTGAAAACAGTGTGACCCCTACTACTTGGAAAATGGAAAGAAGAGGATTGCAGTTCAAGGCTAATGCAGGCAAAAAAGTTAGCTAAATCCTATCTCAAAAAACAAGCTAGGCATGATGGAATATGCCTATAATCCCAGCTATACAAGAGGTAGAGGTAGGAAGATCATGGCTTTAGGCTAGCCTGGGCAAAAAATACATGACCGTATCTGAAAAATAAGTAAAGCAAAAAAAGGGCTGAAGGTATGGCTCAAGTGGTAGAATACTTGCCTAGCAAGCATAAAACCCTGAGTCCAAACCGCAGTACAGAAAGAGAGAGAGAAAGGGAGGGAGAGAGAGAGAACAAGCTAAGTGATCAAATTCAAAATATATTTGTAAGATGAAATTTATAAGATTTGCTAACACTGAAATAAGAAAAGTTGACTGTGGCTGGTTGGGTGGAAAGGATTTATAAGAAGGCCATAGATTAGAGACAGAATTTGGAGAAGCCAACAAATGAGAAATTAAATAACAACCAAAAAAGCCTGGAACACTATCTATATGAATAGTTGGCTAAAGGGCTATGATAACAGAGGAAGTGTAGGTAAGAACCAATACAGAAACCTGAGAGGCCAAGCTCAAACAAGAGTTTTAGCAGAGTCCATGTGGTGGGCACTAAACAGAATTTTCTGAGCTGTCCATAGCCATAGGACTAGAAACATGATTCAAGTTTGGGCGAGGCAGAAGCTATACAAGGTTCCTATCCAGCATGGTCATTTCAGCACTCCTTTATTTTTAATAAACACTTGGAATTAATCAAAACCCCTCTTGAAGTAAAATCAAGATGTTTTAAAGATAATGGTTTTGATTAATAACTCCCCCCAACTAATGTACTTCCTGTGAATGATTCAGACACTGCACCAAGACCTTAATTAACTCTGAAAGCACCAAGGAATCTTTTAGAAAGCAAGTCCTTAAGAGCCTAATAGTTAGTGTGGCCAAAGTGTTAATGCACCTTTTCAAAGCACTGAGGAACTAGGCAGATACAAATGGATGTAATGACTGTATAAAGAATAAATGGTGACGCACCTTGTCTCTGTTCTACACTTTGAAGTCCCTTTTTATGTGTGAGATTCTGTGAGTTAATTTTTCCTGTCTGTGACATTCAAATGTTTTTAATTGCCAACCATCCGGATTTGCTGTTGGTATGAATCAGGACTTTTTATTTAATTAAGCCAGCTTATCTGTCACCCATCATAATTCATGCTGTCTTAATTACTTTTCCATTTCCGGGGCCAATCATCTTATATTAATACAAATATAGGAGAATCTGAGTCATTTTTGTAAGATAAAAGTACTGAATGCCTATCAGATATGTCCACATGCTTCCTCACATATTTAGAAAGCATCAAAATAGCTTGGTAAAATTGTGTTCATATTCTTCTGGAAACCAGAAAATAAATCAGTATTTCAATTCATTCATTTACCTCATGACATCAAGCTTCCAAACCCCATCATTTATTTTCTGGAATTTTATATTGTCTTGCTTCTAACACTGTCCAATGACAGATTGTAAAGTGGGAAGCCTTTCTGCTTCTGGAGATAATTATGGGGTAGCACTACCTCTCTGTACATTTTTGTCACTGGTGCATGTGTGACCATTCTCATTCATTCATTAATTGAGTTTAATCACTGAGGAGGCAGCAGGGAATGAGACAAAAGAAAGTACTAACTTTTCCTTTTGAGCTCACATTTTTGTGGGACAAACAGTAAACAGATAATAGCAACAATAATGAGTAAAGAAGGTAGTAGAAGGTGGCTCATGACTTCTGTAGGTGAGAGTTCAGAGAAGGCCTCTCTGAGGAGGTAGCATTGAAGCTGGCCTTCAAAAGGCAAGAGATGCCATGAGCTGAATCACAGGACCAGGCATTCTAGGAGGGATCCAGCAAGAAAAAAGTGGGAGTACAATCCAGGGACAAATGGAGTTCAGTGCCACTGGGGTGACATGAGCAGGGAAAGTGGTGGCAGATGAGCTGAGGGAGAGAGATTAGACCAAGGGAATGTGGGTTTCATTCCAAGTTCCATGGAAAGCTGCTGAGGGATTGAAACAAGGCAGTGATGTGATCTGATTTAGGACTTGAAAAGATCAGTCTTGCTGCTCTGTGGTAAATGGATCAAAGGTGACGTGTTAGGGCAGAGTAATCCATGGCACAGCTGCCTGGATTCAGTTTCAACATAGAGGCCGTATGATCTGGGGCAAGTTTCTGAACCTCTAACCCTTCAGTTTCTTCTAATAAAAATCAATAATAATTGTACCTATTTCATAGGGTACAAGTTCATAGGTACATCAGATATGACAAAGAAAATACACATAGAGAGCCAGGCATGGTGGCACACATCCGTAATCTGAGCTATAAGGGATGCAGAGGTAGGAGGATCATGGTTCAAGGCCAGCCTGGGAAAAAAAGTGTGTAGCTCTATTTGAAAAATAAACTAAAGCAAAAAGAGCTACAGGTGTGGCTCAAGTGTTACAGTACTTGCTTAGCACGAGGTCCTGTGTTCAATTCCCAGTACCTCCAAAAAAAATTCACATAGAAGAGCTTGTCACACTATCAATAAATGTTAGCGATCAGATATTTCTGTCTTTCCCTCCTTATTACTACATATCCAGGTCTCAGAATTAAGTAATAAGAGTTACAATAATATTTTTTAAAGAAACAAATTTCTATTCCTTATGTCATTCCATAATTTCATTACCTTTTTGTTCTTTGGGTTTTAAAGGTTGCTAAGGTCTCTTAGAAAGATGGGTTGACTATTATTAGCTTTATTATGAAGTTAATGTTTTCAGCTTTCAAAATGGGGCAAGAGAGGTTGGATGTCTGATCCCAAGATTATAGAAATTACATAAGGGCTTATTTCCTGCCTCCAGCAGTGCCATGACACCCCCAGGCCCAGCTCAGCTGCATCCTCCCACCTTCTCTTTGGGCTCTGGACCACATTTGTTTCCCTCACAGGGTAATCTCGAGCCTCAGTGTTCCTCTGACTTTTTGATTTCCCAGTAAACCTTACTTCCTGCCCCCCTGCCATGCTACAACTGTATTTCAGATTCTCGTGATTTGTTATTTGCTTCTCAAAATAGGTTTGAGAATATTAAGAAAATAAAGTGGTCAACATAGCATGTGGCTGAGTATTCGTGAGAATAACAAGGAAGTTCTTTTAAGCTGTGATCTTTACTATAAGATGTCGTATGCAGACATTTCAGAATTGTAGCTGGAATTGAGGTGCATTTAGCAAATGTTGCTTTCCATGAGATAACACTTAAACCTGATTTTTTGAAAGCTGTGGTTCTCGTGTTTCATTGAAGTTAGTTGGGTAAATGACAATCTCTTTTGGCAAGAAGAATCTTGAGTGTCACCATTAATTCAGAAGAATCTTATAGTTCAACAACATAGAAGGCTTTGGGTTCCCTCCCTGTGAAAAATATTCAGAATTAGATACATGATGCTGATCAGGCATAGTGGCATGTACCTATAATTCCAGCTACTCAGGAGGTGAAAATCAGGAGAATCACAGTTTGAGGCTAGCCTGGGCAAAAAGCATGAGAACCTATCAGATAAGTAACCTGAAGCAAAAGGGCTAGGGATATCGCTTAAGTGGTAGAGCACCTGCTTAGCAAGCATGAGACCCTGAGTTCAAACCCCAGTATCACAAAACAAAAACAAAAACAAAAAACAAAACAAAAAAACATGATGTTATTCTGTTACTCTTCTGGCTCTTCTGATTTCAGGTTCTGTATTTCTTGTATTTTTTAATTGTGGGATTTAAAAAAATCTCCATTTCAGAATTTTTACTTGGTCATATTTATTGTTTAATGACTTTTTTGTTTGGTGGGCTTTAAAATCTGCTAAGGCCTTTTAGGGTGGTTTGACTGTTACTAGCTTTATTATGAAGTCTATGTTTTCAGCTTTCAAACATGTCCTGTCTCTGAAGTAACAAGAAGTCCCTAAACCCAGGGTGGGTGATGTCAGTGTGTTGAAGCCACTGGCCCATGGAGTCTACAAAGGGTGGAATCTGCTAGTTGTTAATGTTTGCTTCTATTGTGCTGATCACATGGATGCCATGATGAATTTGTGAAAAGCAGTATTATTTCTAAATACTCTAGTAAATAATGACATAGTCTAGATTTTTTTACAAATCAATAATCAACATGTATGTGTGTGTTTTTGAAGCTTTCATATGGTATTAAGCTAAAATACCTGATAGCCCTGCAGTGTGTCCTTCTTCCTCCTCCACAGTGTGGCCATGGCTGTTTAAGAGTTTGATGTGAATAGCTCCATGAGCACGGAGAACCCACTCTGAATTCTCAGCCCTGCTGGCACGCGTTGCTGAGCGCCAGGGCTCTTGCCCTTCCCATGGCATTTTGCTCATGCCAGGTCAATGGATCTTTCTGGAGTTATCCCAACAGCCAAATATCCAATTGTTTCACAACTCAGTAAATGGATTACATTAATGTTAATATTTAAGCTTTTGCTTTTTTCCAAAATATGTATACATGAGCATACTCACTTTCTATGTTTACTTTTCTACCATAGATACGGGAGCAGAAAGACAGGCGCTAAAAGAAAATATATATCCTAAACTAAGAGAATTCTGCAGAGAAAACTATGGATTGGAATTTCAGGTAACTCCAATACTAATCTTATTTTTAAATATGTCAGCTAAATATCTAGGGTTTGTTTCTTGACATCATTTGGCTGTTTAAAAAGGCAAGTTTTAAGCCCTGAAAAACTTCCATCCTTTAAGCATGGGAAAAAAGGAACACTGGAAAATGGAAATAAAATATTCAGTCATTTTGGGTGTTTTACACTTAAATACTGTGCTTTTTGGACCCTGGCTGCTATTGGTCCATCTCTTTTCTTCAAGCCATATTTATTCACTTATTTCATAGCCTCCACTCTTATCAGAAAGGGTAAGGTTGCTGAGCATCTGCCTTTAAGCTTATGCTGAGGTGTGGTGCCTAGTAATATTTTGCATCTCCAACCAGGACCAACTTTTTCTAAGTATTTCCTTTCAGCAGCCTACCCAGCCTTTGCCTTCTATCTGCCTTTCAGTTTTTGTTCATGTTGTAGAATGTCCTTTCTCTGAGAATTCCAAGATTTTACCATTTACCAAAAAATTGTGTGTGTGTGTGTGTGTGTACCCTTCAAAGACAGTAACTGTACACATCATTGCTAAAGTTTGTAAACCCTATCATTTTTATACACTGTTGATTTTGCCTCCTGATAGAGAAGTACTTGAAAATATTTGATGTGTCTTGAACATCCAAAACTTGAAAAAGTCAGTGGCCCCTGCCACAGATAATATTATTTATTCAGAATTTTTCAGCCTCATTTACACTGGAAACGTTAACTCTTTGCTGTTATCTCAACTACATGTTTATATATCAAATGATAAATGTGTCATATGGGGTTTTGGTACAAGACTACACGATGTACTGTTGTTAATGGAAGAAATTTCACCTTTCCTTCGCTTCGTGACTAAATGTTTTACCTTGGAATGCCTCACAATGTTTCTAATATGATATAGAAAGTAATTTTCTCTAAATGGTTTCAATATCAATGTACAATGTCAGTCAGCAGCAGGCCATTATGACACACACACATTGAAGAGTGACTCATAAGTCACCATTTACTTGATAAATTGAGAACTTAAATGGAATTCCTTGTCATGAATTCAGCATTCTCTGAGGAATCTGGTTCTACTGATAAGGGAATACCAAGTGTTGCAAAACTTCTGTCAAGATTCCCAAGACTTAGACACTTCTTGGGGACTCAATTACCACAGAGGGAGTGGTGTGTCCAGAGATATTAATCCTGTCTTTGAGTTTGTTTTGCACCTTTTTTGTCACCAGAGGGAGGAAGTTGTTAAGCTACAGAGCGGACTCCATAAAACACAGTATTGTGGTGGTGACTGAGATTAGCTGAGTTAAAAAAAAGAAGAAGTGTATTTTCTAAATTGAAGTTGGTGCAGGAGAAGACTAAGACAGCTGAAGGAAAACTACAAAAAGTAAGGTCTGTAGAATGAACTGTGTCAAGAACCACTGTAAGCAGGCAGACTGGATCAGTCAGTGAGATGCTGGACAGCAGTGGACACAGAAGACATGGACTCAAGCCCCCATAGTGACTTAACATGCCCATCCTGCTGTGTAGTGTCTAAACCAGGGATGGTAACAGCTTACATGTCTGTGATGGTGTTTAAAGTAAAACATGCAAGGTTATATTTGCTTCTCTGTAAGCTGAACAGGAGCTCAAAAAATATCCAAATCTTCTGAGAATGTACTTTTTAGGATAGTTTTTACGGAAAGTTAATTATAGATCATCTCTCTTAGGATATGTTTTAGAGCAAGCAGTTCTCTTTCCTCGACTGCAACAAAATGTGCCAGATGCTTCATGCAAAGCCAATTCACCCCAGAATAGTCCAGATTCCATCTTTGGTTATACATTGAACCCAGGAGAACCAAATTCCCCAGACCTGCCAATCTGTTTCATACTTGCCTTTGCTTATTCTGTTCTCACCACCAGAACTGTTGAGTAAAACCTTTACTAAATTAGATTGATAGACTATGGCCTGCATTTTAAACAAGCCCACATACCTTTTATCTATGTGCCTACTTGACAGCCTATTTTATAGTATTCTTTTTAAAATTTAAACTAAGATGTTTGATGAAAAGGCATCAGACTAATTATGTGACGTATAGAGAGAGTGATTGCCCACTGATGGGACAACAGAGGAAAGAACATGAAGCTCTCTCAAAGTAAAGAACAAAGACATGGCATTTAAACAACGGATCCTTTGATTTGCCAGTGTTCACCAGGTGCCCTCAGCTACAGAGAAGAGGACAGAAAGTAATGCAGGGGTGAAAGCAAGTGGTGTGGGACCAGATAAATAAAGGCTACTCATAGACACCACTTGTTCTTCCTTTCAGATCATATCTCCATTCCAACTGCTCTAATTGCTTCAAAAACTAGATGAACAAATAGTTCCTTAAATGGTCTCTTTTCCTGCTTACTGCCAGTAGGTCACAAGTCTTTGAGGACGAAACTCTTTCTTATTTGTTTTTAAATCCTTCGGCCTGGAACAGAATTTGGCATTGAGTGGGATTTAGGAAAACTGTTCAGCAAGGTCAGAACTTTTACACCATCACCCTCCTTGAGGTTTTCTGTCCCTCCACAGAGCATCTTCCTTGCATGTCATATTGTCAGTTTCTTTGCTTCAAATTTTTAATGGCTGTCTGTTGCCTATAAGGACTGTCTTTAAGGTGAGCCCAGCTGTCTCTGCAGCTTCCTCTCCTACTCTTCCCAATGAAGCAGTCTTTTATGGTTCCCAGATATATTCCCTCCTCCTACTCTCCGAACTCCTTTAAATATGCCCACACCCCACTGGTCCAGTGAGCCAAGAACAAGCCTAGCTAGTGCTGGGATCCTTGAGGGGTTTCATTGTACTTCCATACATGCATACAGCACATCTCAATCCATTTCACCCCCTTTGTCCCTCTCACCACCACCCTCACCTCTTGTTGAAACAAGATTTCATAGTTCTGTTCTCATATATGGATATAAAGTTCTTCAACCATGTTCAGCCCCACTCCACTTTCTGCTCTCACCCTCCCCTCTCCCACTGGCCCCCACTCCCAACAGGACCTGTTTCACATTCCTGATATTCATCTTGAAACACTAGATTCCACATAGAGAGAGAACATCTGGCATTTCTCTTTCTCAGTCTGGCTTATTTTGCTTAACATGATGATTTCTCGTTCCACCCATTTTCCTGCAAATGGCATAATTCCATTCTTTTTATGGCTGAGTAATACTCCTTTGTGTATGAGTATATATGGCACATTTTTGTACCCATCCATCAGTTATGGGAACCTAGGCTTAAAATTATGGTGGAAATATTATGTATGCATGTATATAAGTGGAAAAATTAGACCTGTTGAAACTATTCTAGGAATGGGGAGTGGGGGAAAAAGGAGAATGATGGAGGGGGTGAATTCAGCTATGATATATTATAAGAACTTCTGTAAATGTCACAATGGACCCCCACTACAATAATAAAAATTAAAAATCACTTTTTAAATGCCCCTCCTCCATTAATTGGGAATTCTCATAAGTCAGCAATCATATTATTTATCTTCATATGACCTGTGTCTTTTATAGTACCTGGCTCATACTAGATATATGGTTGACTGAACTGAATTTATTGAGTAATTAAGACACAGAAGTTGAGAATCCAAACCAGTGTTATACAAAAGAAAAAGCATGAGTTGCAGATGTAAGCCACATATGTAGTTTTAAATTTCCTACTAGTGACATTTTAAAAAGTAAAAGGAAAGAGGTAAATTTTACGTCAACATATCCTAAACATATGGTCAATATAAGAATCACTCATTAAGTATTTTACATCTTGTTTTCATCCTAAATCTCAAAGTTCAGGGTATAATTTACACTGAGAACACATTCCAACTTGTTCTGGCCTCATTTCAGGTGCTTGACAGCTGTGTGTAACCAGTGGCTCCCAGACTGTACAACGCAGCACCTCTAGATGGCTGGAGTGCTGGTGGGGCCTTTCTGACAGGAGAGAGCCTGATAACCCAGTGATGGGCATCTAGCTGAGAGCCTTAACTAGATGAGCTGCAGTGGGAATGAAGTTCATTTGCACATGTTTAAAGAAAACAAAAAGGATTAAGAAAGTAATTCTTCCACTTGTCAAATAGTAACATTTTGAAAAATCGGTCACTTTTGGATGTTGTGTTAATGTATAATCTGAAATTGTTTTAATGTATTGTACTGATGCATAATCTGAAATAGTTAATGTAACCTTCAAAAGTACTGTGGAATCATGACTCTCTAGCTATCATCTATGAGGCAAAAAGACCAAACTTTACAGTCAGCAATTCATTTGCCTGTTGTATTAATACTTGAAATGATTTGAAATCAAGAGAAGCACATGACAGAAACTCATTTCTAAATTGTAAACTAAGGGCTCTTGTCTTGATGGGTGCCATTTGTTACCTTCTGAATTTTTCCTAAACATAGCTTTCAAAATTAGTTTCCCCCATATGCGTTTGCAATTAAGTGTAAGGACTTGGTCTCCCAATGAGAGCTCTTCCCGTGTGCTGGCTCCAACCCTGCTCCTCCATTCTTCGTGCCAGCTGGCTTTCCAGACATGTAGGAAAATGTGAGAGTAAAACCACTTCCTGCCAGCAGAGCGGTCTCGGCCATCTTTGCTTTCTGCCTCAGGGTGATGCTATGATCACCCCGATACTCATCCTGGGTAAAGGTGTGTTCCCACCCTTTGTCAGGTGTTGGCCCATCTTCGCTGAGGTTCCATCCCTCTGTGTCTTTTGGCAGCACAGGTCCAGACGTGTCCTCATGGTTTTCCTTCCTCTCCAGACCTATAGTTACAGCATTATCTCCTCATACTCTTGTCTGTATGGAGTCATCCCTGTATCAGCATCTCCAACTCCTATCCATAGTTGCATGAGAATAATTCTGTTTTGAATGTTAATGTGTTCAAAACAAAACTCATCCCTCTTCCCCTTTTCCTACTGGCTAAAATGTTACTATCCCCCTGTCTTCAAGACTTTAAACTCTTGGCTCATTGCCAGTCCATTCTTCCAGC